TTCAAAATGATAAAGAGAAATATGTGATTAGTTTTTTTAAAAAAAAGACTAATGTGGGTTGAATAGAACCGCAATAGGGATAAAATGATACAGATGGGAATATTTAAAGACAATATCATAACGTCTTAGATAATAGCTGTAATAATAATAATAGCCAACATTTATTGAGTCCTTTTTGTATGCTAAGTGTTTTGTATGAGTTACTTTATTTAATATCTACAACCCCGTGAGGCAAATACTATTATCCCCATTTCACTGACAGGGCTTAAAAAATAGTTATAGTAGGGCCAGCTCATGGCTCACTCGGGAGAGTGCGGTGCTGATAACACCAAGGCCATGGGTTTGGATCCTATATAGGGATGGCTGGTTGGCTCACTGGCTGAGTGTGGTGCTGATAGCACCAGGCTAAGGGTTAAGATCCCCTTACCAGTCATCTTTAAAAAAAAAAAAAAAAATAGTTATAGTTACTTGCCCAAAGTCATAGTGCCAAGTCTACCAGGACATGGTAGATCTAAATTTACATTCTGTATATACACCTCTCACATTTCATTGTAGGTAGGTTTCAAGTGTATGTATTTCTTTCATTTTGAATATACCTTTTATTTTCAGCAGAAAACATATATTAAATCAATATTAGAATGTAAGAAGTGGAGTTAGGGAGGGAACCAATATAAGCTTATTAACATTTGATTAAGGTTATTATAGCATCAGAAGACTCCAAAAAAGTATTATACTGTCCTTTAAAATTATGAGTTCTTGGCTGGCCAATTAGCTCAGTTAGAACACAGCCTTATAACACCAGGGTCATAGGTTCAGACCCACTTACTGGCTAGCTACCTAAAAAATAAACAAAATTATGAGTTCTCAATGAAGTGTTGCTATTTTTTTTTTCTCCCTACTATAGTAAAGTGCAGGCAAGTGTGGGCAAAACGAAATTGTGTGATGTTGCTTTGCCTCCCACAGATTTGTCACCCCTCTTCCCCTGGGTGATGGAGCTGCAAAAGATTACTCAAAGCCCATCTCTTCTGAGCAGTGAGAAGCCCCGAGTGGTTAACCTCCCAGAACTCTCAAGAGAGAGGCATTCCTTCCATTTGGGAAATTAACCACAAATTGGGTTTCTCTTCCTGCATTTATTCTCCACACCAGGAAGTTACAGGAAGAGAACATAGGTGGGATTATAGTTTAACCATATAGGCTGGTAACATTCAGTAAAACAAGTAAAGTGACATTCCATAAGGCAATTTAAATGATCCACCAACAAAAGCTTGATCATAGCAAATGTCCTTTCTCCCTACAGCAGCTTCCCAGTATCTTTACATATCAATCAGTAACTTGTCTGTCTTTGAACCAGCAACCTTGCCGTGTTAAAATTCTTTATCTTTCAACAGAGGCTATAGCCTGGGGAAAATTTCCTGGTTTTTGCAAGGTCAACATTTTATATGTACTTTTAAGAAGTTGGACTAAACCTGAAAGTACAAGAAACTAGGCCCTGTGAAATATATTTGCTTTATAGTATACTCCACAGTGTGATCTAATAATAGATCAGAATCTGATGTAAGCTGACAGTTTGTATGTCTAACAATACTGATTAGATAAGTAGAATTTGAATGCATCTGATTCTTGAAATTGTGAAATTGCATGAAAAAGGAGAACCCAGAGAGTATGTCATGAAAACCAAAGGAGGAAAGAATTTCAAGAAGACATCTTAACAACCTGCTGTCATAAAAGAATTTGAGGAATTGGTACACAACAGTACCAGATGCTTCTAAAAGATTGAAGAGGATTGGAACTGAGCAGCAAGCCGCTGAATGTAGTGATTTGGGCAGTAGTGACCTTTGAGGGAAGAGTTTCACTACAGTTGAGGGATGTAGAGACCAGAGATAGAATATTACACCTAGAAGCAGTTTTAAATAGTCGTCTGGATACCATTATTACAGATAAAGTATCTGAGGTTCAGAGAGATTAAGTGATTTGAACTAAGTCAGTAGCTCTAGACCCTTGACGATTTTGCTACCTAAGGGGCATTTGGGAATGTCTGGAGACATTTTTGATCATCACAACTAAGGGTGTGTTACTGGCACAGTAGTGTGTAGAGGCCAGAGATGCTATAAACATCCTACGATGCACAACAGTGCCCCTACACACACCCCAAAGAATTATCTGGCCCAAAATGTCAATAGTTCCAAGATAATGAGGGTCAAAAAACCTTCATCTAGGTTACCAACTGATGCTAAATCTAATCTACTTGTAAGCAAGTGGAAGTAATGGATATAGACTACTTTCAGTAGTAAGAAAGGGTGGCACTTTGATTTTTGGAGTGTTTCTTTGAAGAGGAAAATCTCGAGCATACTTTGAAGTAAAGGGAAGAAGCTGGTATAGAGTGAAAGACATTAAGGATAAATATTAGAAAGGGAACAACTGGAAAGGCAAAGCCTAGAGAAGGATGGAATCAAGCATTAGGTGCTAGGCAGCAGTCTCTGGATTTTCTTATATCAGATTAAAGTATCTTAGTCCAAGCAGTAATAAAGGGCTGTACTCCTGATATTAAGAATTTTCAGAGTAAATACATTTCTAAAATTAGAAAGTTTGACTAACAAACTTGTATTCTAAAACACATAATTTAATGGTCCAATAAAGTTATGAAGTTGATGTACAGCATCTGCAGCATATAAACTCTAAAGGAAGTTAATCTTATATAGTGTTAGGTATAGGGACTGCCCTAGGTTCAATTTCAGCCCCTTCTTCCTGCTGTTTTTATGACCTCAGGCAAGTTTCTGAATCTCTCAGTGTCTTTTCTCCATCTATAAAATAAGGGTAATAGAGAGATCCTCTTGTAAAGCCTGAAGACTGTGCCTGGCATTTAGTAAGTATTCAGTAAATGTTAGGTATTAAATGGAAGTTTCTGTGCAGTAACAGTTTTATTAATGATCCAGTGCTGGCTTTGCCTGCAGAAGATAAAGAGATAGTTGAGATATTCTGTCTAACAAATAGGACTTTTTTTTTTTTTTTTTTTTGGTCATTTGATTACATGACCTTTGGCTCCTCTAGTAAAGAGTTATGGTTATTTGACTTAAAATGGAACACTTATGGAAAAACTTAGAAATACTGGTTAAAATTATCTTGAAATGTTAAGTATGTAATAGTAAAATACACATGTGAATTTGTACCTTATCAACTATACCTTTGTCTGAACAAACTTAGGCTATGTCCATAAGCAGGAAAAAAAATAATATGTTTATCCTTCTGTTATCAACTCTAATAATGGACTTCAAATAAAACTTCTGATACTGACTTTATCTGCCCTTATCAGCTGGGATTCGTGTGTGTTTTTTTTTCTTTTCAGATCAACAGAAGCATTTAAAAAGGAAGATGATCTTGACAGTCTTATTAATGAAATATTTGAAGAGCCCAACTTTGACAAGAAACCCTTTGTAAGTCAAGTGTTACAAATGTGCAGAAATTCTTCCATTATTTCAAGACATGTTTAAAATAGTCTTAAAACTTAAAGGCACAAGTTCCTATTCATAGTCCTTTGAATTCTGAAAAATACAATTACTTAAATTATTCCATTTAAAGAATTGTAGAAGAAAGAAAATATTAGAAAATCTCAGTATGTGTTTCTCTGTTCAATTCTCAGCAAGAAAGAGAAATTAGAAAAGCTATTAGCATAAAAGTCAACAGATCAAGTTGGTTACTTGTGTTTATTTTTAATCTCTAGGGACACTTTTCTAAAAGGCCAAAACAATTTCTATTGTAGGAATGTGCTTCACATCTCAGATGCATGCCATTGCTGTAATCCCATGAACCAGTGACTAAATTGTTAATATTTTAATTTTTTAAATGTTTATGTAACTATTTTAACTTCATAAAAAGTTTATAAAATAATACAACAGCCACCATACTAAACATATCTTAATGTTTTGCCATATTTACTTCTTTGGACTTTTTTTAAAGTAAATGAAAATTAGAGATATAATTTAAGTCTTCCTCAAATCCTACCTTACTGTCTTCCTTCCCAGAGGTAACCACTATCCTTTCCATTTATACTTTTATTATGTAAGTATAGTATATAACCATAATCAATTTTAACTGCATACAGTAGCCCATTGTGTTACTCTGTCACAGTTCATTTATCCACTTCCCTGGTGATGGATGTTTAGATTATAAACAACCCAGTTGTTATTACAAATAATGCTCTATCAGATATCTTTACATATCTTCTTTTACCCATGTACAAGTATTTCTCTAGAATGTATAAACCTCGAAGAATTCCTAGGTCATAAAGTGTGCTCATTTTCAACTTTTTACCCATTGCCAAATTGTTTTCCAAAGTGACACAGCAATGTATGAGAATTTATATACTTTAATTTTTATCAGTATGGTTATGTGTGAAACATATTTCCTAGATTTAAAAGAAAGAGACCAAATAGAAGCCTATTTTATAAAGACCACAAAGATAAAAAAATCTAAGAAATAAGTATAATACTAGAGGTGTTTTCTTGTTTGTTTTTTGTTTTTTTTAAAAAGGTAAGGAAGATTAAAGCAAGACAGTGGCCTGAAAATTGCTAGGTAATGGTGGTGTTAAGGATACGGATAGGGGCCACTTATATTTTTGTCACCAGACTAAATAACTAGTATAGATTTTAAGGTGTTAAGGATATGGATGGGGGCCACTTATATTTTTGTCACCAGATCGAATGACTAGTATAGATTTTAAGATCTGAATCTCTCCAAATTTAACATTTTCAGTTCATCTGAGGAAAATAAGCTGATGTCTAGTTGATTAATATATCAGTATAGCAATATTAAGTATTGTACTCTGCAAACAATACATCATAAGTACTGAATAGTAATGCTACTTACTAATGCTAATAAATAGTAGGAAAAAACTACATGATGTTTATGTTGTTATTCATTAATTATCTGAGCAATTCATTGTTTATTAAGCACTATAGGATGCATATCTGTTTATGAGGTACAATCTCTCTAGTTTAAGGTGTGTCAGAAGAAGATAAATACTCCTGTAGCTTGGCTTTAAGATATACTAGTTTGAAATACTTAGTGAAAAAAATATGTTTCCCTTTTTTATTTATTTATTTATTTACTTTCTGGTGGCTGGCCTGTACAGGGATCTGAACCTGTGACCTTGGGGTTATAAGGCTGTGCTCTAACCAATTGAGCTACCCAGCCAGCCTCTTTTTTAGTGATTTATTATATACAGTTTTCCAGCCTTCAAGGGAGAGAACAGGTCTATGTAAAACATGTATCGTTTGAGGAAAAGAAGTGTCTGTGAATAGACAGTCCCTGCCCACATTGTCCTTAGAGACCATTATGTGCTGAAAGTACTACTTCCCCACCCCAACCCATGCTTTCCCATTCTGTTGCAATTCTGAACTCCCACACCCACACAAGAAAGCCCAGATACCAACAAGTGTCACAGTGTGCCAGCTCAAAATCAGAATCATGAGCCCGGATAGCACATGAAACATGCTCTCCAAAATGAAAAGAGATTCATGCACATTATTATTTTCAGACTTGCACCAAAAATTTTTCTAGTTCTGCTTAACATCAAATAAAAGAGTTAAGAGAAATAGTAAAATGAAATATTTTTGCCTCCATTAAATTTCCTTTCTCACTAGGTAAAATGGATGCATGTGTCTGCATGGTTTAAATGGCCTTTTCTCCATCTCACTTCCTCTTCTTGGCGGTGGTCCTAGTATGTGGTTGGTTTATGTTGTTTGGTACCATATACCGGTTAACACTTAATAAATGCTTGCTAATGATGATGATGTTGTGTAACCATGTAGGAACTACTGTATGGTTATGACTAGGTAGTTCTACATTTTCCTTAAACATCTATTGGTTGGTACCATAGCGTTTGATCAAAATTAATATTCCTGAAGTTACACAGGAGTTTGGTTAGTTTATTTTTAGTTCAGATAAGTACCATTCACAGCCTTTAAAAATGAGTCTGAGGTTTTTTCCTCCTCAATTGAATTTTTCCAGGATGAAGTTTTAAATAGCAGGTCCTTCATATTAAATCACTGAAATCTAGTATTAACTGAAGAGTTATAAAGTGACTCTAAATCTTAGCATGCTAATAATGGCAGTATATCAATTTCCTAGACTAAAAGTTAGCAGAGTAATTTGCAAATTCCTTAGGGAGTTCTACTTCCCTTTTGCCTTTAAAAGGTTTTGATCATTGTTTTTATTTCAGAAACTTAAAAATGATGCCACCAAAATTTCTATTTAAGTCATTTTAAAAATATTCTTGTTATAAAATAAAGAATATTAGTTTTCATATTACAATTCTCTGAGTTACCCTTGGCCTTTTATTATTTTGTTTTTTTAACAGAAATTAAAACCTAAATCTTCAGGTAACACATCTGTCAGAGCTTCCATTCAAGGCCTTAGTAAAAGGTAAGTTGAGCTTGCTTTGGTGAATTATACACACTAGTGAGCAAACACTATAAGTATAGTCTAGTAGATTGTGTTACCATTTAAACAACAGTGACATTGAACAACAAAGCAGTGGTTGGCCTTCAGGAGAAAGGCCAATAGCAATATCTTCAGTGTCTTATGGTCCGTGACCCCTTAGTGTAAAGGAAATTAAATGGGAGATTATTGCTATTGTAAATAATTTTCTGCCATGTTAAAAAAAAAAAGTGTGAACAGTTTCTCAAAATTAATGTTGTGTTATATTCTTCACTATTTACTTTGTCCCTTACATTATTTGGCAAACACATTTTTCTGTGACTCATTTTAACTCCTTGAGTGTTCCTGAATGTACAGGTTATATTCAAAAAAGCAGTGATCCTGGAATAAATACCTCCTCTTTGAAATAGTTGGCTTGCTAGGGAACATATATCATTTGATTACAAGAACATAGAGTCAATGAGGCCAAATTAATTTCTCATATTTCTCCTTTGTTGTAATTTTATTTTTTTCCATCTGTTGAACATGTCTAGTTGCAGTCCAGTGTACCTTGGTGGAAGCACTATTCCATGTGGGATTGGAACAAATACTTCACAGAGGTAGTATATCAGAAATATATTATACTTTTTTATTAGGTTTTTAAATTGAGGCTCTGTTGTTAAAATGTAGTTCTTGTCATCTCGGCATCAATCCATTTTATAATGAGAGGCATATTTTATTAGCCAGTCTAAGAACATTTTGTTGAAATGTTTATTATTCTTGGGAGATAGCTGTTGAAAACTGATGTTGGGTATATATTCTCTACTGTGTTGATGTCCTTTTTCTAAGCCCCACTTGAAGTGCCTGGATCCATTCAGTCCCAGAGTGATTTCCACAGGACACCAGGAGAGTGAGCTTCCTTACAGGCAATGGAAACCATTGGGTAAGGCAGATGAAGCCATGTGGCTGTGCAGTTACATGATGCCTTGCCCCCACTGACTTGGCCAAACAGTTAGTATGAGAAGCTACAGTTCTGCATTACCCAAAAAGTTCTCAAGCATAGTTGTTTGATTTTACCTGTTTACATATCTGAAAAGCAGAAACCCACCGTTCTTTGTCTCTTCCTGCCCCTTCCTATACCCACTTTCTCACTCAGTCCGTCTTTCCGGGCAGTCTTATAGTCGTGACGCCACCTACCCCAAGCCCATATTAGCCCCATACTCCCAGCACATTTCATTACCATTTTCATAATATGGGGAAACAGATTGGCTGTAAGCAAGTCTTTATACTGTTCTGCTAATTTTGATTCTATTTGTGGCAGAGGCCTATTTGCTTAGATTATTATATTTTTGTCTAGTTATTTCTAAAATATTTTTTTATTTCCTAGGGGGACTTTTTTCCTTTTTTTTCTTTTTTTTTTTTTTTTTTTTTTTTTTTTTTTTTTTTGTGGCTGGCTGGTACAGAGCTGAAACCCTGGACCATGGTGTTATCAGCACCATGCCCTAACCAACTGCACTAAGTGGACAGCCCAATTTTGTGTTAATTTTTTAAGGAAGAAAAGACGGAGTTATGTGATTACACATTAACCACAATTTTGGAGGAATCACTGTTATGTTGAATAATAGAAGCAGAAACTAAAAAGACATTGTTGGAGGGTTGTGGTGGTACCAGCTTAGATCTTAGGAAGCCTGGAAGGAAGGGCTATAGGACCAAAGTGAAATTAGGAGTCTGGAGAAGCCTTATACCGGAATGCCAGGCAGCAGACAGGCTAATATAAATCTGCTGGGGGCGCTGCCTGCTGTAAGTGCTGTAAATAAGAATTGATAGCAGTTGGATCATCGCATGTTGAGTACTGTCTATACAAAGAATTTGAGATACAAACTGCCCTTTGAGGAGAATGTAGTCTTGTTGCTGTCAGTCTCAAATTACCTGTGTCAACTCAGTGGGACTCATCTGGGTCATGTCCAGAGCCATGCCACCTCTGATCCAAGCTTCTATCAAGTCACCCGTGAACTATAACAACAGTTTCCCAGTTACCATCACTTCCATCTTCTCTAGTCTCACCTACATATAGCATTCAAGATAATATCCCTACAGTGTTATTTTAAGTGCCTCTCCCTGTACTGAAGGCAAACAGGAATTGCTGTTTGTCTCCCTTTAAGTCTAAACACGCCATCTGCTTTACCAAGTTGTTATCCTTGTTCTTTCTCTTCTCCCTTTAGTTCCTTCACGTCCAGATAAAGCCTGGGCCAGATACTCCACTCACACTACAACACTTGTCATCCTCTACTTTTCACTTACATTTTTCTGCCTCTAAGTACTTTTGTATCCATTCCCTGTCTGGAGTGACACTCTTTTCTAATGCATGTCCCCTGCTGCCTTCTTAATTTACATACTACAGATTCATTTTCTCTCTCTGTATTTGAACTTTTTTTTTTTCTTTTATTAAATTCATTGAATGTCCACCCTGTCCTAAGCCCTGGGCTAGTTTACCAAAAAAAGGTAAAACTGGACAGTAGAGGAACAGATAAAGAAGTAAATTAGTATACCCATGTTGTGAAGAGGAAAGGCTCTGGTGACATAATGGCTGTCTTCAAATCCTCACTCTGCCACCTTGTGAAGACTTGAGAAGGAATGTTATCTTCTAAAACATCTGTCTCAGCTTCTGGTCAAGATGGCGGAACAGACAGTCCCCAGCATCACTCTCTTCCACAAATCAATTTACAACTATTAAAAAGCAATGACAGCCAAGCTGGGGCCACTAGAGCTCAGGGGAAGAGGAGGAGAGACCTGTAGAGTGCATTGAAGGCAGGAGAAACTACAATGAGAGAAAGAAAGGATCATTCCCACCATTTCGAATCCCAGTGGCTTCAAGGCTGGAGCTGGTGAGTGCACAGAGCAAGAGCTGACAAAAGCCATAGCTGTACCCTTCGGATGGAGTTGCTTGGAGGTGGCAGGGGAGAAGAGGGCCTGATGGCCCTCAGGCCAGCAAGACCACTAACAGGGTTCCTGTGGACCCACATAGGAGCAAGGAGCCACAACAACTGAAAAAAAGGAGCCACTAAGAGGCCGGTGAGTCATTGCAAGGGACCAGCACATGGCCCACCCCATGGAGAGTGTTTAGAGTGTGGGGGATGGGGAAGACAGGCTACTGGGGGAACATTGGGGCACACCAAGGACAGCTGATCTGCCCTCCAGTCAGCACAGGCCCCCTCTGTGTAGACTGGCCAGGAATATAGAACTACAGGGGGAGCAGTTGAAAAGACCTTGCTGAAAAGACTCAGGTCCAGACCAGAATTTCTACGCTACCCCCGTGTACCAGATCTCATGAGTCAATCATTAAAACGTGAGCTGCACAAAAGGCTTTCTCCAGGGAATCAACAGCAAAGCAGCAATTTAGCTCAACCACAGAGCTCAAGTACTGGTCCCCGCAGGAAGTTCCTCCATTTTAGAAGTAAGCAAAGGACAACAAATTAGTTCCAGTGCAGAGTTTAAGTAGTGGAAACAGTGAATAATCCAACACAGAACTGAAAGAAAAAACAAAATACCCACAGACCGAAGACAGAGTTTGATATTAACTAGTAAAGACCTCACTTCACCAAAGAACACCTATAAAACCTAGAAGGACCAGAAGCCCCCTGGGCCCCCAAGCCATGGAGGGGGGAGAGCTGGGTGCCTCAGCTATGCCCTGACACAACCAGCCCAGCAATGACCACTGAACTGCCTCAGGAAGCAACCCAGACTCCTGAGCCAGGGCAGTGGGGGGCCTAGGGCTTTGGCCACACACCCCCAACATCTGCAACCAGTGCAGCAACCACCACCAAACCACAGCTGGAAGCCCCCTGGTCTCCCGAGCCAGGGTGGTAAGGGGCCAAGGGTTTCAGCCACACCCCCCTGACATCTGCATTCAGTCCAGCAATGACCAAGCCACCGCTGGAAGCCCCCTGGCCTCCCCTACAGGAATGAGGGGTGCCATGGGCCTCAACTACGTTGCCCCCTTTCCTGCTCCCACCCTCTTTCCTTCTCCCACCCTCTTTCCTTCCTCCACCCTCTTTCCTTCCTCCTTCCTCTCTCCCCCTCCCACCTAGATGCTCTGCAACAACATCTTAGAATGTAAAAAGAGATGGAGCCAGGGACCTGAGGCTTGGAGCCAGAGACCAACCCCTCCTCCCACTCCCAGGCATACTGCCGCTGCCATGGGGCCCACCCAGGGTTGTGGCATGGATCCGGGGACTGACCCCTCCTCCTGCAACCAGGCAAGGAGCATGGCAATAACACCACTTCCATGTGGGTGGCCCACAACAGCCACCCCAGTAGCCATGGCTGCCACAAAAGCATCTAGGCTCCACAACCACCATGCAGATGGCCCGCCATCCATTTGAGTGCATTGACACAAGGAGAGTCACCAGCGGAGACCAAAGAAAAAAAGAGGATGTCTCTCCACAAAGCCCATTCCAGAGTGTTAGAAGAAACATCTGCTCCACGATAATAGTGGGAGACCTGAACACTCCTCTCTTAGCACTGAACCGATCATCTAGGCAACAAATCAACAGACTAACCATTACCCTTTCAGAAGGGGAGAAGAAATCTAGGGTTATCAGAGGTGGGAGGGGGGAGGAAGAGGGGGATGGGAGAAATTGGATAAGGGGCATAAAGAATAAGTACTATTTGTGATAATATACATGTTAGTAATATTGATTTGATCAACATACGTCAACGTTGAACCCCAAAAGTATATATAATCAATTGTGATTCAATTAGTTAAATAATTTTTTTAATAACCGAACATCTGTCACCTATAAAAACTAAACATACTTTATGGAGATACTGTGAGTATTAAATGAAATAATATATGAAAGCCGCGCCTCTGGTACAAAAGATAGCTAACTGCTAGATACACTGGTTTGTAATTATTTTTGACTTTCTCATGTATTAGTCCTGCTTATCTCAGGACATTTGTATCAGTGTTTATTTAAAGGTGCCTTTGGATTTTCAAAATGGACTCTAAAAAAAAGACAGTACATTCTGGTTTACTTGCAAAGAGTAAATATTTCATTAAGATTTTCTTATCTATAGTATTTTTGGAGTGTACTTTGATTTAGTTCTAGCACAGAGGAGTCTTGTTCCAGATGGAATCTCAGTAGACAAAAGAGCAGCCTGTTTCTATAGCTTGAGGGTTCTATCATCTAGTGTTGGTCCATGAGGATGCCAAAATCTATCAAACTATATTCCCACGTTCTGTACAGCTACAAGAGGAGATACTGTTTGCATATACAAAGAGACTTCAAAAAGTTTGTGGAAAATAAGGAATTAAAAGATAAAAAGATAAACTCTATTTCTCAACATAAGCTCCATCAAGTTCAAGACACTTGTGTAATTTTATTTGTTTTTTATTGAAACAGAATTGATTATACATATTTTGGGGGTACAGCATTGAGTACTATAACCTTTGTACAACATGCATTGATCAAGTCAATATTATTAGCATATTCATTACTACAAATCATAATTATTCTTAATTCCCCTTACCCAATCTCTCCCCAACCCCCTCGACTCCCCCCTCCCACCTCTAGTAACCACAGATTTGTTCTTTCCTTCTGAAAGATCATTGTATTATGGG